AAATAGTCATGTAGTTCGTCTATTGTCAGATCAACTTTACGACGACCTTTAGGCTTATCAATTCTATTCAAAATATCCCAGAAGGCTTTTGGTTTAAATTTGGAAGCTTTCCTCATTTCATGTTCAATATTTTCTTGGAACTTTTTATAGCTACTATTAATGAGTTTTCTGTATTCTCTACCTTTTTTGTTCATTCTTTTCCGATTTCTTTGGCTTTTAAAGTTTTTGTAATCTCTCTTAGATTCATGAAATTCTTTTCTTTTCTTAACACATTCACGGGTAAACCAGGGTTTATCCTCTTTGGTGAATACTTTTTTCCCATTGTGCACTTTTTTTGTTCCAAAAACCTCTCTTGCTGAGTTCAAAAACAATTCAGCAATGTTATTTACTAAATCGTTTACATCGTCTCGCGATATAATCTCAATTGGAGACTCGTGTATATTTTTGATTTTTGAATTAATTTCGTGTAATTTGCCCCTCTCGTCCATATGTACTGTAGTTACGAAATCAGTTTGTTTTTCGTTTACCCATTTACCGATTCTCTCAGTAAGATGAACCGGTTCCTCGTTTTTGTATACGGATTCAGAATATTGAATGGTAAATTTTAGTCTACAGTGCACGTCTGAAATCAAAGGATCAAAGTCTAAAACTTCAAAGTATTACTTGTCATACAACAGTACACAGGTCCTATCAAGGTATTACTTGTCATAACACACAGTGAAGGTGTGTGCTGGTTAAGCTGCTGTTATTTCCTGGAGTGATTAATTAGATGATAATTTATTTATTTGTTATGATATCACTTTTATTAATTGCTCTATGTTGTCGTTTACCTGAATAAACAATAACTAATTAAGCGACTGGGAGGGCAAGAATTAATTGTGTTATAGGGAAATTGCTACGGTTTACCAACCAAACATCTTTGGTCTGCTTTTTGTCTATCAAGTTTTACACGATTACTGGAATAACGTTCCGCTTTGTGTCAATGGTCGCTCATTGATCCTTTTCTTTGATTACTTTAATTATTGACAGGTTTGGTTTCATTGACGTTTTAACCACATTTGTAATTCCTGGGAGTATTTCCCTTATTACCACTTGCATATGCGTCTGTCCATTTGCATAATTTGTTTAGGGTTGTACTAGGTCTTACTCGTGTCGTATTGCCAGCTATTATCACTTAAATATGCACATCATTTTATTGGTTTATAAAATCAAGCTTACCTGAATTGAGTATTTCTTGACTGGTGAATCTTGTGTATTACAGTGACAAAGCCACCCCTTCCCCTCCAACAGGGTTTAAACTTGGGTATTGAATAGTGACCATAATAACCATGATAGAGGCTTTTGTACCTGTATGGTCAGTGGTCCATAGTGGCACATGTGTTACAGTTTTGACTTAATTTTTTCCATATACAATGAAAGAAGGACAATGAACATCACAGCTGTAAGAAAAATTAAAAGGAATAAATAACCAAAATTATAGTAGTATATTGATTTTTCACTTCACGAAGAAAAACCAAGAGCAAAATGGGAAAAAAAGTATTTTAAGAAGGGACCCTTGAAAGGTCATCTTACTTTATTTTATACAACATGACATGGTTCAGACCACATGCGTAGCAGAATAAACTGAAAATCTGGAATGGTGACACCCACCTGAAAAAAATCTGGATCCACCCCTGAAAATTGACATGCTAGAAGATTGGCGCTAATTCTATAGAGTCTTTTCATACTGAAAATATCGTAGCTTCCCCATACTGTATTTTCTTCCTCATAAACGCAGGCATTTGTTTCTGTCAATGAAAAGGCTATGACAATAAGAAGTCACACCTTAGTAATATAAAATACTATTAATTGGTATTTGGTATTAGTATTTTACATGAGTAGGATGTGACTTCTTATTGTCAGGACCATTTTTATTGACAGATACGTCACACGCGTACGCTGATCTGGGAAAATACATTTGTTCTAAGTATAATCATATATTGCTAGATAAAACGAAATATAGTGATTTTTTTAGCAGAGACAGGCCTTAATTTTATTGTGACAAGTATGAATTACGTGTAGTAAAATACGGTAACTGTAATGGAGAGGGTAAGAAAATTGCTCATTTACAGATCAATCTAAATTCTCAAGACATATTTTTTTTTAAAGATGGAAAAGGGGATACGAATAAACGCTATCAATTGTCAGCGTGTTAGTCCGATCAATGGTCAGCGTGTTAGTCCGATCAATGGTCAGCGTGTTAGTCCGATCAATGGTCAGCGTGTTAGTCCGAACTGATCTGCGCGCTCCTGTAGTAAGCCTACAAATTGCGTGTGAGGTTTGGGATGGATGCTCTCAACTAGATTTAGAAAAGTTAGAGCGGGATCATCGTGAACTTAGAGCAGCAAGAATAATTACTGGATTGCCATCTTATGCCAAAAATGAATCTTTATATATCGAATCAGAATTAGAGTTACTTTCGGATAGACGAGCTAGAAGAAAACTTCAATTATTATAAAAGATGAGCATGAAAATGACTCCAAGCTATCTATCAAATCTATTACCCCCTCATCAGTAGGTGAAAACAATCCATATGCTTTAAGAAATAAAGACAACTATAGAACTCCAAATTATCGAGTTTCTCCTAAAAAGACTGCCTTACCTTCTTCATTATATAATAGACATTAAAGATCACTTTAGATGATAACAGTAAATATCTGCCTCTCCTATTTTTTATATTAGTGTAACGAAGTTGACCCTCATGTTTTATGTCTATCTATCTATATATATATTCTGCATCACCCTCTTTCGAGTATTATATGCAGCGTGCGCGTCTGTGCATGTTAAAAGGTATTGTGTGGTGACCGAGATAGAAATGATAAAGTGCGGACTGGTGCATGCATAAGGGAGAGAGAGAGGAAAGAAAGAAAAGTGTGATGAGAGAGTATTTGGTGCTAAGAAATGTCTATAAGTTTAGACCTGCTACTGCCCATACAAGGGCATATTTTATGAACCTCTACGGATGTTGATAGCTCCTGTTGTACAAAATAGCGGATCTATTATTATGGACTTTGAGTCGGGGTGTGAGGGAGGGGGGCGGGGTGATAATAATAGTTTGAAGATTGTTTACCTAATATATAGTAACATACACTCCAACTGAGCTGTTTTTGGAAAGAGTTCTGATTCGGTGTTGGTCATATCAACTCTGGCCACCTTTAGGAACTCTTTCCAATACAGAGCCAGAAATAGTGTATTCGGGTAGGTGAACTATGATGACAGGGGACGGGGGT